CTGTCCTGGACATCAGCAATAACAACATAGCAAACATAAAGGAAGACTTGTTCGATGGACTTTACAAACTCGATATTCTGGATTTGCAGCACAATAATTTAGCTCGACTTTGGAAACAAGCAAATCCAGGAGGTCCAGTTCTTTTTTTAAAAGACCTTCCCAACTTGCATGTTCTTAATTTAAAATCAAATGGCTTTGATGAGATTCCAGTTCATGTTTTCAAGGGTCTGCATCGGTTAAAAAACTTGGATTTAGGATCAAATAATTTGAATTTGCTGCCAGCAACTTTATTTGATAACCAAAACTCTCTAAATACGTTGAACCTTCAGAAAAATCTAATAACCTCAGTTGAAGAAGATGTGTTTGGTCCAGCTTTCAAGAGCCTGAGAAAACTAGAGATGGATTCCAATCCATTTGATTGCACCTGTGAAAGTATTTCTTGGTTTGCTAGTTGGCTAAATGTCACTCAAGCATATATACCCGGATTGCACAGTCAGTATGTTTGCAACACCCCACCTAAATATCACAGTACTCTGGTGTTGCATTTTGATACCTCAGCCTGCAAAGACAGTGCTCCATTTAAGCTTCTGTTTGTGATCACTACCACTGTTGTGATACAATTCATTTTCATCATTCTTCTCATCCATTTTGAAGGGTGGAGAATAGCTTTCTACTGGAATATTTCTATAAATCGAATACTTGGCTTTAAAGAGCTTGACAGATTACGGGAAGTGTTTGATTATGATGCCTATGTTATTCATGCAAGAAAGGACACAAATTGGGTGTTGACGAACTTCACTTCTCTGGAAGAAAATGAGCAATTTCAAGTTAAGTTTTGTCTAGAAGAACGAGACTTCGAAGCAGGAATATCTGAATTTGAAGCTATAATTAACAGCATAAGAAAGAGCAGGAAGATTATTTTTATTGTGACTGAACATCTCTTACGGGATCCATGGTGCAGGAAGTAAGTAAAATATAAAATACTGTATGTAAGGGGAAAATTTCTTAGCAGATTTTCAGCAAGGTAATCTTTTTTTTTTTGCTATTTAAATTAATTAAAAATGCAATGCAAATTCACCTTTAATATATCCTACTTTTGGAACAGTTACAAATTTAATAAACTTAATTCCTCTACATGTAAACTAGTACATATTTGAACCTGTCCATATGTTTTTTTTTTCTTTTTCAAAAAGTCAAACCATTACCTTTGCAGATTCCTTTCCTTAAAATTATGTGTTTGAAACAGGACAGTCATTGCTGTGATCACTAGCATTCATTTTTATATATCTTTAAGCAACTCTTTTCACTGCTCTTTAGTAGTGATCTCAAATTTGAAGGAACCTTGCTAATTATGGCTACGTCAAGACAGTAGGCTTAGGTTATATTTTAAGAGGATGCTTTATCCTTTATTTAAAAAGTAATTAATTTGATGTAAGTAATGAGAGTTTTATATCATAAAATGTACATTAAGACTTCACTTTGAACTTAGACCCTGATTTTACAGCATGCTGTTATGTGCACTATCAAAAGCTCTATCTGTTATTTGTTCCCAAGCCTGAACTTAAAATTTTGTCTTACTTTTCCTCCAGGTTTAAGGTGCACCATGCCTTACAGCAAGCTATTGAACAAAGTCGAGACTCCATCATACTGATCTTTCTTCATAATATACAAGATTACAAGTTGAATCACGCACTTTGCTTGAGAAGAGGAATGTTCAGATCTCGCTGCATCTTGAACTGGCCAGTCCAGAAGGAAAGAATCAGTGCATTTCATCAGCAGTTAATGATGGCACTTAAATCTAATAGTAAAGCACGCTGAATTCAGTTTTCTGATGTTAGAAAACTAGCAGGTCTTCAGTAAAAACTGGAAAAAAAAAAAAAAATTGTCATATTGAAATAAGACACTGAAAGTTGCTAATTAATATTTACTTGTCTAAGTTCACGTACTTGCTGATATCGTAGTTGACCTGCACTGAAGTAATCACATCTGATAGTCATTTCAGTATATGCATCAACAATACGAAAAATTCTGGAAAGTGGTGAAAATGACTGAAGTCCTTGAAAAAATATCCATCTGATGTAATGCAGAAAAGCCATGGTCTCTATATTAACAGGGTATATAGAAGAGGATGCAATGATAAAATTTCAAATCCTGTCTAGAAAGCAGAATGAGCACTACAACTTGTTTTTAAATCTCAAAGGAAAATAAATAGAAAACAAACCTAAAAATTTTTCTATATTAAGCACAATAACATGGAAATAATTTCTATAGTTGAAGCCTTTGAAAATGGATAAATACGGTGGAATTCTTTAGTGTATTTTGTTATACACTCATTTGGTACTTTCTTCCTTAAAATACTTTACAGAAACTTGGTGTAGTTAGCAATTGTATAGCATTAAGGTTCGAACTTATAAGCTAGTACCTTGATCTGGAGAGAGCTGAGAACCAGCTAAGCATGCTCCAAAATTATGTCTATTCTGTTTGACACTCATTGCAATTCTATGGAGCATTTGAGCACAATTTATTGTAAAGTGGATTTTAGACAGTCATTTGAATATTCCTATTAATGTTTAATTTCTCCTCTGATGGTTGTTTTTGTCGGTTTGGTTTTTTTTGTGGTTTTTTTTGTTGTTTGTTTGTTTGTTTGTTTGTTTTGTAGTTGTTCCATCCTTCATTAGCTCAGGACTATTTTTGCTTTTATGCTTTTACCTTTTGTTCTCCCCTAGCATTTCCCTCATCAATTTCAATACTGCCAAGAACTCTATTCTACTGCTTTAAAAAATAGATTTCAGAGAGATCAACGCCCCAAAGTTTTAAGCAGCTTTTTTATGATCTGTTATACATACAGATGAAAAATTTCAGTAGGCTTCTGTGTCTCATGATAAAAAAAAATATAAATGAATAATAATGAAATATCAATTTAATGAATTGGTTTTGCATGCACTAGAAGAGTTGAAAGCAAAGTAGACTACTTTCACTGGCTCAGGAAGTCCTGAAGTGAAAACAAAAGGTTTGTTTACAGGTGAAGTGATAGATGATGATTCCCTAATTACAGTAATAGGATTATCCCATTGTGATGCTTTCATCTCATCTTTCCATCCTTTTCAGGCTAAGTGACAAATTTGCTCTTCATGTGTAGGCCATGAAAGCTGAGGAGGCAAGGCAGTAAGGATGGGGTGCCAGGGATGCACCTCGTCAATCATTCTTTCTCTTATTTAAAGACCAACCCGTGAAAGGGAGTCTATGTTTCCTATTCCTGCAATGTCAAAATACAGCAGAATTTCTCATTTCACTTCAAAATGAACTATTTAGTATATCTTAGCATTTCACATGTAGATTAAGATGCAGAGAATTTGCAGAGAAACACTGAGGTGAAACATGATACAAGGAGTCAAATCAAATAGTCTTTTCTGGCCCTTAAACTGATAAATGACAGCTCATATAAATTCTATAAAGATGCCCTTGTAAATATAACTACCCCCAGAATTGGTCTCTAAACAGTAGATAGGTGTGTTATGGATACTTTTGCAATATAGCTAATACAAACTAAGTGCAATTGCTTGTAAATGATGATCAATTTATATGATAAAAATATGACTATTCTAAATATTTTGACACTCAGTTTAAAATAATTTACATGAGGAAAAAATACATTGTATTATAGTAAATAGTAAAACATGAATATACTTGACATAACATTTTTGTATTACGCTTCCCTGTTTGCCTGGTCTTCCTTGTTTTACTCCTACACATTTGTTTGACAGTACTATTGAGGGTAAGTAATTTACCATGATGAAGAGTTTAAAATCCTTTCAGGATTAACACTCGATGTCTGAACTGCCTAGATTCTATACAGTAGGTGGCATCAGACCACTTTATAGTGATTTGCTGAGAAGACAGATCAAATGGATGAAAAGCACTACCACAGTTGTAGCATAAAAGATACTATCTCAGACTAAAGAGGAATGATCGGTATTAAAATCAGCATATCTAAAGAGGTAGAATGCTTGAGTAAGGTAGAATGTTCAGGTTTGTAGAGCTGAGTTGGAAACTGTCTATTGCTGTGGTTCTTGGATTATGGAGACTAATGAGCAAGTTTGTGACATTCATAATAGATTCTGTTCCAGAGTAAATGACTGAATCTTCATGAATCTCTTTTACTGAAGTGCATTAGTGCTCCAAGTTCCCAACTGAGGGATATGCAGCTAGGACAAATGCTGCACACCAAAAGTGCTTTGGTAGATTTCATTGTGACACGGTGAGGAATAGATGCAAATCTGGATTCATTTCTGGACCTTTTCCTGCTAAAGAGTCCCTTCCCTTCTTATAGTCCCTTATAGATAGTGAAGTTTTTTTTTTTGGTGTGTGGTCCTGGGCTCCCCATATATACATGGGGAAGTGTGGAACACTTCAGCCTGTACTGCTCTTCTGGTTGCTGCCAGAGGCCATGTTAGCTGCCACACTGTTTGCCTCTACCATAATACTGGCCAGGTTGCTGCTGGTACAACCACGCTTCTCTCTGTCCAGACAGCTCTACAGTGCTAGTACAGTGTTTGCCCCAACCTACACAAGCTGTTATTCCTGACCCTGCTGCTCTCCCAATCACAGAAGCTGGATTGGTGCCACCTTTGCACATGGGTACTTCCTGATGCAGCTGCCTGGCACACTGTGAAAGGCTGCTGGAGGAGTCACTTGCTCTACTTGCCTCTTAGTCTTTCTTTGTGCAGATAGGAGTGCAGCGGATGAAGAAAGGACTTGAAGTGAGGCACTGACGTGTAGTCAGCTGATTTTTACCCCTCGGGGTGAGGTGGACTTCTAATTAAAGGGAAAATGTCGTCTCCTTTGCCCAGAGGCAGTATTTCACACCTGACACGACCACAAGGCGTAGGCTGATGGCTCTGCCTGGGCGGTGCATGCCCGTTGGGTTTGTTTAGCCTAGCAACGCCCGGGGGAGGGGAGAAGAGGACAGGGTCGGGCCGGGCTCGCAGGCTCGGGGGGGAAGGGGTTCCCGCCCCGCTGCCATGAAGGTGGCGGCACTGGAGCTGGGCTCCCTCCTGGTCAGGCTGCACCGCTCCGCCGCGGGTCCCGGCCCGGCCGCTCCCAGCCTTCACCCGCCCTCCGGAGGCGGCTGCACCCCGGCTGCCGGCGGGCGTCCCCCGCGACCGCTGCTCGCTGCCACGGAGGAGGCTGGGAGTTGGGCCGGCGGCAAGGCGCTGCTCATCACCCTGCCCGACATCGGGGAGGAGGCGGTGGCGGAGTGCGATGCCGAAGAGGCGGCGTGCAGCTCGCGAAGCCCCAGGTGAGAGCGCGCCGGTCGGGGAGGGGCAGCGGGTGGTCTGGTAAGTCCCCGTTCTCCTCCGTAGGTGGCTCCTCTGCTGAGTCCTGGGCTGCGCCGAGCAGCTCTGCGCGGAGGGACGCTGCTCAATCCCGAAGGGAGCAGAGAGGGGAGTGGGGTGCAGCTGGAGCCCAAGAGAGCGCAGGGAGTACCGAGCTCGGGCGGGGGATCCGCCGCGGAGGTACGGCGAGAGTTGCCGAAGTCACTGGGAGAAACCCCATGTGTCAGTAAGGTGTGGAAAACCATCCTGGAATGCTTGTGTGTTGAATATCTAAGCTCGATGCTAAAAACGTGTTTTGTTTTGTTTTGCTTTGTTTTGTTTTCCTGTCGTTCACAGACTAGCTGAGTGTGCAGGTAGGACTCAGTTGTCAAGTAGAAAGAGGTTTCTTAGCAAGCTTGTTTCACTATTGGAAGTACATAGCAACAGTCTCTTGAAAGTCGCTGCTCTGCTTTGTGAGGGAAAGAAGAAGTAGGTTTGTTTGTTTTTCTTCACTGATCTGCTGATTTTAAGGAGTCACTTTGGCTCTTGTTTTGCAAGGTACGGTTAATGAGGTGATCATCCAAATTTCAGCCTCTGTGGCTTGTAAAATGGGAACATGCCACCTCTTAGCCTTCTTCCCCCCACCGAGTAGCCCCAGCCTGTCCAGCCTTCCTTCTGAGGGCACTTCTGGACCCTAATCCTGTTTGCAGCCTTTTCCTGATTCCAATAAGTCCTGGAGATGCAGGACTAGAACCACACACAGTGTTCTCTGTGTAAGCTCAGTGAGGTTTTGCATAGTGACAAGATAGTGCCTTTGAATTCTGTCTTGATATCTGTACCAGTGGGCCAGTGTTTTGTTGGTGGCTTTGGTTGTTACTGTGTACTGAGCCCACAACAAGCCTGGGATTGCTTTCTGAATTGCAGCTGGAGCCCCAGTGCCAGCACCATGTAAAGGTGCTTTAGGTTGACAGTCATCATCCAGGGAAAAAAAAACGAGGCATTAAGGAATTTATTTTACCAAACTGCAGAAGAATTAAAATCCACTAAAAAACAAAACAAAACAAACAAACAAAAAAACACACACACAAAACTCACAAATGAATAGAAGTGTAAGTGACTAAGCTAAGCTATGTAGCACTGTGAGAATAATACAGGTAGAAAGAGGAACTCCCCCTATTATCTCCTCGGGCCCCATTTAATGTAGTTGGTTTGGTTTCAGAATGAGTTGTAAGCTCCTTTAGGCTTATTTTTTCCCCCATTTGTGTAGTATAGTAGCCTTTCTAGAATAGTGAGATTAAATTGGTTTGAGTTGTACCAGCAGAGTTCTGTGCAGAACTTATCTGATCCTTTGTATAAATAATTTCAGAACCAAGTAAATGTTGCTTGTCTGTAATTTCCCACAAATTGTTCTTTATTTTTTTTTTTACTATGAAAAAATGAAGCTGAGCATAATGCTGTTTGAGCTGCTATTCCTTTTAAATGCTGATTCTTTTTTTTTTTTTTTAATTATTGAAAAAAAATTAAGAGATAAAATTAACTCTTCACCAAATTGCTTGTATTGGGATGAAGAATAAACCTTATTACTTTAAGCTGGCTGTGTGCAGCAAAATGCTTATTTCAGGTTGCTGCTGAAACATTTCTAACTGATATCCCCTCATTATTCCTTAACTGTTATGCTTTTGTATGCATGGTGGCATTTCAAATATTTTATTCATAGCAGTCAAGCTTATTCTAATAAGGCATTGTTTGTCTTCAAAAAGAAGAAACCAGACCAGAAAGATGTAGAAGAAGGAATAAGATACATCACTTTGACAAGGAAAGCCTATACCTCCACATTAGCATTTTTTAATTAGGTGGCTTCACTTAAGCTTTTAGAAGAAGCATCTTAATTAAATATTGAATGCTTTAGAATTCCTTGCCTACAGTTCAGATTTGAATTTTGAGCTACAGAATATGCTATTATGTCCTTGATAGCTAGGCTTAGAGAGTTTTTGATTATCCAAATGAAATTCCTCTGTGACAAGTTTTAATGGCATTTAAAAGATTCTAGAAGACATTGAAAATTCAGTGGACATTCACATTGATAACAGTTTAATTAGAAGTTACTGGTTAATAAACAAAAGCTTCAGCATTATATTTTACCATTTTTTCTTTTAGATGCTGACAGATTAATAGCAACCAAAATACACTGGGAAGGAAAATAGTGTAAATTTGGTACTGATTTCTTCCTTTCTTTCCCAAGTACTCTGAATATTTTGTGAGATCTATGATGACTAACAATTAATCCTAGTCTGGTGTAGGGCTATACTGTAGTGATTTCATGCTCTTCTAGTTCCACTGAATGAGCAGCAATTAAAATTTACTTATTTATTTATTTATTTTTAAGGAAAAAATCTGACTGCATCTTTAAAAATGCTGTTTGGAAAAAAAGTTGCTGTATAAGGTCACAAAATTGCTTTGGAAAATCACGTTACACTTACCATGATATAGGAGTGACATCAAGATACACAGACTTCTTTTTAAAGAAACATTATGGCAACCTAGAGGTAAACTGGAGAAGGGTTAAATCATTTTATTTAGGAATGGGTAATATTTTGTTGGAATCAGTTGTGCTGCTCCCCATGTTTAAGGACAGTTCTGATGTGGGAAAACTGTGAACCTAGTAGAAGAAGGGCAGTTTTTCCTGTAGTATAAAAGCATTGCTGCCTATTGCCAGCTTTTCAGTTCCTCTGCCACTCAAAACTTGTCCTTCCAAATGATGCTCTGTGAAGATGTGAGTAGAAGCAACTTAATGTACAATGGCAGAGAATGGGAACTTGGATTCTGTTTCTCCCATTATAACCACTAAAAGGAATAGATCCCTTTCTTGCTGTAATGCATACTAACATACAGAGAACTGTAACATTACTAGCTTCCTATTTCAATTGTTCCACTCTAAATGAGCAAATGTAATGATGTACTGTCTTATTTAGGTCAATTATTTCTTTTTATTGCAAACAAATGTAAAAGAGCATAGATGTAAATTTTAATTTTATGTAGTGTTACTGGAGTCAGTATTTAAGTATTCTTCTAGACAAATGGAAATAAAAATAATTCCTAACATTTTCTAATATTACATCTATAATAGGTTTTTAGTAAGAACCTTGTGCAGTTTTCAACAAGTAGCTTGTCAGAGAATAAATGTCAGAAATGCTAAAACCAAAGAATACCAGGTGTCCTCAAAGTGGTTTCATTGTTTTCAGGTCCAAGAACTGATCTATTGCCTTTGATTATATATATATATATTTTTTAATAGGAAACTAGAGTGTTATGTTCACAGTCAGGCATCTAATTTCTGAGTTCCTGACTGGGATCAAGGGTGTTAGTGATAGGAAGCAGAAGATGTAGAGTCCAGAGATGGCTTGTCCCACATTCTCTAAAGGTGGGAGGCAGCTGGTGTCAGCCACAAGCCCTAACTGCCAGGCAGGGCTGTAGTGGGTGATGAGGCAGCTCTGAGGCCATCAGCAGCTGAGGCTTGTTGGTGTGCTCAGGGCCCTGTAGCTTTCATGACAACATTCTCAATATGTCTGGACCATCTGTTTCCATCACCTCTCCTGCTGGCTGTAAGATACATTTTAGACAGATAAAAATATTCTTTCTTAAAGAAAATACATCTCTCCTGCATTAGTATAAAGACCAGATCACTCCTTGAAATAGAACGAAAGGAGCAGAGAAGAGAATAAAAACCAAGTACCTGGACAGGCAAATGTGGGAAAGGTGAGCAAATATCCACAGTGGGATGGGGGAGAGAATTGGAAAAAAAATCTCAGCCAAGTACAACTTGAGGGCTGAGGTAAAAATGACTTACTAAGATAGAAAAGGAAGTGAAAAGGAGAATAATAATAGTAACGATAATAACATAAAATACAGTTACAAAAGAAGTGGTGCACAATGCAGTTGCTCACCGCCCACTAACCAGTGTCCCAACAGTCTTCAACCAGTGGCTGCCCCTTGGCCAACTTCCCTGTTTAAAGATTTTTCACATGATGCTGTATGGTATAGAATAACCCTTTGTCCAGTTTAGGCAGCTGTCCTGTTTCTGTCCCCTCTTTGCATTCCCTTGCCCCCCCCTTGCTAGTAGGGTTGCACAAGAAGTTGAAACATCTTTGGCTTGGTGCAGCACTGCTCAGCAACAACTAAAACATTCCTGTGTTATCAACATTGGTTTTCTCCTGAAACCACAACATAGCATCATATCAGATATTATGAAGGGGAAAATCCAACTCTGTCCCAGCTGAAGTCAGGACACCCTTGCTGTCATCTTATTCACTCTTCTGGTGGGTGGATCAGTACTGTGAAACTGACAGCTTCATCCTTGGTGCACTGAGTCATGAACATTTAGATACTATGCAGTAAATAAAGGACAGGACTTTCTAACAAAGACACTTATTCATTCATTCATTCATTCATTATAGGATGTTTAAATCATTCTGTCTTTAAGGAGACTCAGCTCTCTTTGTCTGCTGAATAAAGCAGAAAAGCTGCAGAGGAAAAAAAGTGGTCTATGATGATGATCAACAATCATGCTCTCAGATATTCCTGTATGGGTATATGGCCAATTGGCAGCCAGCTTGGACAGAATCAGAGCTTACCTAATGTTATGCTGTTGAAATTGAATCTGTGGACTAGCAGCAAGCCTATCCATAACAAATATGTTTGTTAAAAGTTGAAAATAATCTGAAAGTAATTATTTTGTTTCATATGAGAATTACTATTCTTAAAGTTTGTAAGAAATGCAAACTTAGAATATGCGTGCCATAGTTCACCACATTTCATGTATTTATGACTTCTTTCTTCTGTGGGGGTTTATCAGAAAATCTCTTTATAACAGATTTTTCTGAGTTTTTAGGAAAGATAACAGACTTTCTTGTTCTTCAGTGAACCTATTTCTTTAATACTGTTGACAAAGAAGCAGCCTCCGGGCTGCAGAATGACCTCTGCAGTT